TTCCATGTGTATGATGATGAGTTTTTTTTTTTTACATTTTACCTGTTTTTGGATTTGACTAGTGTAACGGCTGCAACAGCTTGCTTGTATCAATTATTCTTACTTAAATGAACTGCATGTAGTTATATCAGAAATTTACTTGCTTTACTTTTGACATATACCACATATTTGAAACTGTCTTTGCATAATTCTGATAAATCTTCCGAGTGTCCTCTATAAAACAGATGTGTTTTTTTACTTCTGAAAGTAAAATTTGAATTTACTCTATAATTAACCGAAGTAGGTTAAATCTCAGCGTTTTTAGATGTCATACCGCCTCCCACCTCTGAGAGAAAGACACTGATACGCTTCCTGTTTATAATAAATCCACCCACTTCCTGTATATTAATCCCTTTTCCTCGCAAGTATAAAATCACATCACACAAGCCTATTTGTATGTAAGCTTTAACATGTCCTCATTTTTTTTTCTACTAATTTGTTTGACAACAGACAATTTGCGCGAATTGCAACAGCAGTATCTCATTTATAAATTCCGACCTAAATTGTGACTAACTAATGAGCCGTGAATATGTGAATTTGTTGTCGTTGAAAATTTGTAATTCATGTACCACCTGTTAAAACATTATTATGTGCCAAATTACTTTGTATTTTGACTGTTTATTGCGTTTCATATGAGGCACTAACGGTATCTATTTTAATTAATTAATAATTAATTTATTAACAGTTATGTCGCCTAAGACCATCTTGGTGTCATCAATATGTCTGGGGATGGTACGGAAAACTTAGCAGGGCGTTACCATGGTGGAAACAAAGACAACCTGGATCAAGATAATGAATATGGAGTTGACAGAAGTTTCCTCCACCAGTTAGCCATTTATATCTTCAACTGTGTGCTTTTATCGTTAGCATGGCTTCTTGGCGTTGCGGGATACTCGTACGCCTTCATCGTTCTAATGTTATTGTTGTTAATGGTTGTTTGGAGAACCAAGTTGGTGGAGATCCTTCAGGAAATTATTCAAGTTGAAACTTTGCGAGTTCATCGTCGGCGAGCTTTGCGACAATCAGAAACAGCGGAATGGTTGAATTTCATTATAAATCGTTGGTAAGCATTATTAACGTTTTCTGATTTTAATTAATATATTTAATTATGATTGATGTTGTTAATTTAATTAATACATTCTATTTCATGTTCGTCTTTTATATTTTTGCCATAAACTTTTTTCTGCAGTTATTTGTGGATTTTTATATATGAGTTTTATATCTGTTTTAATCAGTGCATGAAAAATCTACCTGTATTCGACCAAATAAATAACCTTCTGTGTCCAAAACAGAAGGTACAGTATTGTTTACAATATGTGCATTTTAGGGATTTATTTGTTTGTAAAAGGCTATATTTGCTGTGACGTCCTTCTATTCTCTTGATTACTCGCTTCACTTCTCTATATATACCCGCATCCACTGAATATTAGCTATTTTTAAAATTTCGTACATATTGCACAAGCTGCTATATCCAATATTTTTCTAAATTTGTAAATATTGGAATTTTAGATGACTTGTACATAAACGATCATTATTTACAAATAATCGTCTTTCACAACAATTCTTTTTTCACACATAAAAGTATTTCTAAATTATATAAAATTAAAACATGATTTATATAGAAATCCTAATTCTTCTATAGAATAAGAAATGAGGCCTTTGTATATAAATAATACATATCGTGTGTAATTTATAATGATTTTATTATTTATATACATTTATAAGGGTATTAATTCATTCAATAAATATTAAACAATGTTTCCTCTATCTGTATATAATCCCAAGCTTAAATTTAAATAACAAATCAAACAACTACTGATTGATTGATTGATTGATTGATTGATTGATTGATTGATTGATTATTTATTTATTTATTTATTTATTTATTTATTTATTTATTTATTTATTTATTTATTTATTTATTTATTTATTTATTTATTTATTTATTTATTTATGTGTTTGTTTCTTTATTTATTCATTCATTCATTTATAGGTGGGTTTTCAGCCATCCATCCATTTTCAAACACATGAAGAAGCACCTAGATCCTTTATTGGTGAAAGCCAAACCTAATTTTGTAGGTGAGTTATACATTTTTAACTGAAATTATGAAATTTCACAAAACTATTACACCACAGTACAGGAAAGGATGAATATTGCTTCATTGACCTCAATTTGTGTTAATGTCAACTGAAAGTAGTTTCTCCATGAGGTTAGCTGATTCCTTTGCAATACCGAAATGTACACAGCTCTTTTGTATAATATTGAGGTAAAGAACCCCTTCTCAGATTGTACTTAATCATGGCTTAAGGTCCATCAAATTGTTCAGATATGTGTCAGCAACATATATATGACAGCTTATCTTTTTATTTCAAAGAAGAAATCCTGAAGTTTTATTCAGTTAATATTGTTATAGTGCATTTCTCAGGAGGTGCTATTTTGCACAAATCTGGGAAATCATGAAGCAGTGATAATTTCACAGGGATTCATTTGACAGGGAGTCACATTGACCTTCGAAAAGATTCTTTAGTATGAAATTTCTAGCAGTGAATATAAATTAGTTATTTGATGATTAACTTTACCAATGACAACTAGTCTGCATTTCACACTTTAGGAATTACCTAGGTATTGCCTGATTTTACCGTAATATATTTTGTAAATGTAAACTTAAGTACTTATCAATACAATATTAAAACATACTGGTAATGTAGAACCATGTTGCAGAAAAAAAGCTGGTAGGGAACATGAGAACTCGTTCTTTATTTCACTATGATAGAATGTCAAACTTTTAAATAATAGAAGAAAGGTCTGTGACAGGGATTTTTACTTCCCCTCCCCAAAGATTCACCTGGATACTGTAACCAAGGCAACGTGAATCACTTGTATTGTATATCTTGACAAGAATTAAGGTCTATTTGTATTATCATAACAATTTGATATCTGTACTTCCGATATTTCATGTAAGCTCAAGAAAATTCCAAATTTTACATACTGTAATGTGAAACACATCATTCTTGCTATTAATATCAAGAAAATGTGGAAATAATTTTAATCCAGATCAAGATCTGATAACATTATACAAATCATTAAAAAAATTTTGATTCTGAATCAGTGTTTTTTTCTAAAGATTTTATGACAAAGCATTTCTGATTTAAAACTTTACATTTTTGTATCATCAACCAAAGAAAGAAGCCATAACGTGTTTGTACTTGTAATTACCTGCTGCTGTAATTGTGAATATCTGTCTTTGTTGTTTCTGTTCGCATGAATGAATAAACTGCGTCTCTGTCTGGAGATTACACAATTCCCGACTTTATCATTGTGTATCATGCTTTTTGTGATTATTCAGAAATCACAAAATTAGTTTCACCTGAATAATTTCTGCTTTTACACTGGATGATGAATTGACATCAATAGCAGTCCCCCCAATCTGATTAAAATCTGATGTAGTTTACAAGCTTTAATTATTTTGGCTATAAAATTATGTTTATTTTATTTTTTAATACTTTTGTTGTTATCTGTTGTTAAAGTAAAATAAAATAAGTATTTTTATAGAACTAGCAAAAATTACAGCATTATATAACTGTAACTATCAAAGCACAATACATAACTTGTGATAACTACAAACATACATAACTTTCGATAAATAAAAT